TCACGGGGGGGGGGGGGGGGGGGAAAGCCTCCAGTTTTCCAGGAAAGAGATGTAATTCACACTTGGTGCAGACGCTCAGAATCAACCTGGTCATTCCTGGGGGTGGGTTTCCTTCATGTTTTCTCTTTTCCGAAGGCTGTGTCACTATCACTTCATCAGGAATGACTGGGACCACTGGAGAACTACGCAGCGGTGCTCAGTGTGGCAGGGGGCGCGATCCCCCGTGCCTTTCCACCCGCTGCCCGGGCAGCCTCAGCACCGCTCGGCATTGTCATTTCTGAGAGCCAGCGGACCCAACACCAGCTCGTCAGACAGTAACGCCTGAAACCATCGGCAAACGTCCCCTCACTGCCCGACAGGGCGGTCTCGTTTCAGAGAAATTCAGGAAAAGACTTCAGAAACAATCAGAAAGGATGGAGAAACAGCACAATCAAACCAGGCTAAAAAAACCAACCAACCACCACCAACAACAAAAACCCAAACCCAAAACATCCAACCAACAAGCCAAAAAACCCCCACAGTACTTCACCCATTCAACTGGAAGTATCAGTGCTTGGGATTATTTCACACAGTCTTCCCCCGTCTACCCAAAATAAATACACTCCCACTGGTGCTTCTGCAGATGCATCATTGGAGGTACATGTGGAGTACTGTGTATTTGGCATACAGAGTTCATTTTTTTTGATCTATTAGGTATTTTATAGGGGTGAAGAAAAGCAAAATTATTCACAAGTAGTTTGACAGAGGAAAAAAAAAAGATAATGTAATTCTATTCCACAGAATAGATTTACTGCTCATCTGATTATCTGCAGTATCCAAGACAGAAAGCAATGGGGCAGACTTGAGATCTGGGAAATTTTCCTGATTTGTCATTTAAGTAAAAAATAGCGATTGCGTGAAAGCAAGCAGAATACGCCAGTCTGGAAAATTGTGTAAAGCATTAGTAACGCAGTAGTATACACTGCATTCCTGAACCTTTCTGGAGGCAGTATTTTCATTAGATTTACCAAGTCTCTAAGATGAGCTATTGATGCATTATTCAGAGTATCCTTGCAGAGACTGGGTCTTATCAGATGAGAGAGGCACATAAGGAACTGGATTTTCTCTGGCCTGTTTTCCATTGAGGAATGTGTGGCCTGGGTTACTCTATAGCCCCTGAGCAGGTAAAAACAGCTCCTCCAAGCAACTGTGTTTTTGTTTGAACTAGTTCTATCACACAGTTGGTCCACGCAGCCAAAGCAGAATTTGCTTTAAAAATGAGCTGAGTTCATTGCTGTTCTTCATTAAATAGTCCTGGGAAATTCATTTGAGAACAGGTCTTCGCTAGGTGTTATTCAGATGTGGTGTGGCTTTCCCCTTCTCAGAGACTGTAACATCTAAGTTGGGACAAAAATGCAACACACAGAAAACTTGTAATCAGAGAAGTCATCCAGAATAACAATTCATCCCTCCACAGACTAGTTACAAGCCTGATTCCAGGTCCTCAAAAGTCAAAAAGCAGTCTTTCATCTATTTTAGCAGACACTCTTTGGGCACTATCATCACATTCAGATCTTAACAAACCAGCTATTATTGGCGTCAGAAATTCCTGCTGAACACCAGCCAGCACAGCCTGTTCCTACATATAATACAACTTTAACAGAACGATGAACGCAGCAAAGGCTCCTCGCGAGCCCAACTCACTACCTCCTGCACACCTTGCACCATGCCCGCAGTTACGCTTTCAGACCTGCCGGTAGCAAGGCACCTACCATCAGCTGCTCTTCTCCTTCACCTTCCAGGACAACAAAGACTAAATGGGAGAAATCTATTTAGTAGCTGAAGGGGGAAAATTGTTCCCGGAAAGGAATAGGTCCATGGCTGCCTCAAGCAACCAAGACATCATTTGGTTGATAAA